TGGGGCTCCAGGCCACCTCCAGAACACTGTTTCTGAATCAGACTTTCCCAAAGGGTTTGAAGAATGTGGATTCCTGAGCTCCCTGTCAGGATAACAGAAGCAGAACCTCTAAGGGGGGGTTCATCAGAATCTGAACTGTCAACAGCTTCCCACCAAGAGGATTTTTATGCACCTTTCAATTAGATAACCACCCAGGAGGTCTAGAAACAAATGTCTCTATTTTTCTGCTTCACAACATTTTATACATACTATTTTAGATCAAAATGATTATCAAGTGCATCCTAAATAGTTCAAAAAAAATTTAAAGGCAGAGTCCCAGTAGCTTAGAAATGGGAGTTTCTTAGCCTTTGTTGGGGAGTGAAGGTAGAAAGTGGTGAAGAAAAGCTGAGCGAGCTGGTTGAAATCTTTTCCCCTTCTCTCCCACCCAGAGTTAATTCCAAATGCAGTCCATCTTTTTCACGCCATCCTAGACCTGTCTTTGGTCAGAAAAAAAAGACTCACAAATTTTCATGACTCAAAAAGATCGAACACAAATGTGTCCAAGAACTGGATCTCTCATCTGTGAATTGAAAAAAGGGGTCCTCATGTCCCAATTTACAGCAAGGATAAAAAGAGAAAACGGACTCAAAACTGTTTGAAAGCACTGATGGGCACAGAGAGAGAGGGAATGATTTAAGAAACTTGGACGTGCAAAAAGACTTGTTGCACAACACACTGCGGAGGCAGAGCTTGAGAACAAGGAGCTCCGGTGCCGGAGTTCCCAGGTTCAGATGAGAGAGCCTCACCAACTGGGTGGCCTTGACCTTGTTTAACTCATCTGTGTCCCAGTGTCCTCATCTCTACAATAAAACCTACCCCCCATAAGGTTGTTGTGAGGACTAAGTTAGTTTAGCAGATGTCAAGCTTAAAACAATACATGGTACACTCTATGTTTGCAATGGTTACAAGTCTTTTTGGAAATCAGGATAATCCTCTAAAGTTGCACTGTCTAAACCCCATGGTTTATAAGCTTTAAAGAAGTTATTGTACAAAGAGAATAGAAACCTTTTAAAATCAGTAATACCTTGTTTTATTTGCTTGATTGACCTCCCATATTTTCCTTTAAAATTATTGATTATAAAGGGAACAGTAATCTACCTCTCAAACTCCTTCTCTTGCATCTGTGAGTTCTGATTATAATTGGTTGTAATTTGAAGACCTTGATTATTTATCACCATCAACCCACAATTACAATACCCACAATTGCATGTTTCCATTATTGAAAAAAATCACGAAGAAATGCCAAATTAAAAAAACAATCCTGTTGTCTATATATCTGTTGAGAGCTACTTTTCAAAAAAAATGTTTAGTGTCTGAATTCCTCTTAATAAAATCCTCTAGAAGAAAAGAAATGTGAAACATAAAAATACCTTAAAGGCTGTCTTTCTCAGATCTATGAGAAGTAACAATCTCCACTTCAGCAGCTGCCTCCAGGAGGAAGGCCACATTTTGTTGCTGGAAGAGTAAATCTAATGGATATTTATTGTAAATTCAGGCAAAACCCATTTTTCTAAAGAATAATTTTCTAACATGAGATTGATGTTTTTTTAGTCAAACAGCTACTCTACACTTTGGAAATCAAATGAATACACAGTATAAAAACATAAGCTAATTGATTCCCCCAACTCTTTCATGAGGATGTCTAGTAGCTAGTTCATCTTGTAATTTTATAGTCCAAAGGTAATTCTCAAGATATTATGCCTAATATCAAATGCATTTCCACAATTCTGACCAAAGTATCAAATGTTTGGCATTATAGAATGATAATCCATTTTACAACAGTCAATGATATTAGCTCCAGCATTCCTAACAATCCAGTGAAATATCGTTGTGACTTAGGGTAACTTTGATTTGTATGTCACTATTTAACTTTCGATTAAGGGAATAAAAAAATATAAAACAAATATTTTTAACCTCTTGAACCAAATACACAGCAACACATTATGAAATATTGGCTAACAAGTTTTGCCAGCAACTGACCAGAAGAAGAACAAGGTAGATCATGGCTGATGGGGTGTGTTCAGTCCAGCTCCCTGCACCTGAGTTCAGGCCCCTTGCTTTCCAATGTTGTATTAAGTAATTATTTCCATATAAGGGGAGGTCATTTAATAATGCCTTTCTGATTAAATTTATGTACTGACACTTTATACTTGTAGGTCTGGCTCTCACTGTCCTATACATAACTTAGGACACAATGAAAATTATTTATTTTACTATTTATGGAGTGCTGGTTATAGTCAAGGGATTGTATTAACCTGTTTAAAAATAAGTTTTTAAGTTGAGAAAAGTTAGGAATTGACATCTATTTACATAAAATTTTACATTGACATCAAAGATGTTAACATATCATGAAAAAGGCCGCACTGGGGAAATGAAAATGTAACAAATTTTACATGTGTTTGCTATTTGAAAATGGCTGATGTAAATACTTTAAAATCATTATTGTTGGATTTATTATTTATAATGGCATAGAAGTAACTGCTCAAAATATCTTTATTTTCTTGCTTCAACAAAGAATGGCAATATGTTTTGGTATATAAGACCTAGTGCATGAGTTTCGAATTCGATTATATATCAAGTTTACACAAAGCCATATGTATGAAAGGGGATCTTTTAAAAAAAACTTTATTTGAGAAAGGAAGAGACTTATAACAGAAGGCAAGAAGAGAAACATACAGACAATATATTTACAACACAAAACAAGAGATCACCATCGAGGGTGTAAATTATAATAAATACAGTAGATTTTAAAAGAGACAATTATCAATTAGCTCTAGGATTATTTAAGTCCAGCTTTTCTTTTCACTGGTTCCAGGTAGTTTCTTGATTAAGTTCAAAGACTATCAAATTCAAACAATTAACGTCCACCAACTGTACTGATGAAGCTCTCTCAAATGACATTATAAAAAATAGGTTTATTTTTGTTTGTGATTACATATTTTTGAAGTAATATTATACAAAAGTCTGCTCAGCCACATGTTCCTCCCCAAATAAAATGTATTTTAAAAGATGCACTATCCCTTTTTTATGAGATTGAAAAAAAGACTTTAAAGAAATGTATATTTATGAGATGGAAAAAATATACAATTTTATCTTAGGAATGCCATATTTTTAATGCCAAAAAAACTGACAAAAGTCATTTTAATCTGAAGGAATATACTAACCAAAATATGTTGGTAATAGGAAGTGTTAATAGCTATTTGTCAAATTATCAGAAGGACTTTCGTTATATGGAAAAGTTTTAAACTTTCTAACTACTAGTTATATTAATTTAATTTGAATGGAGACTTTTTAAAAAAGGATAATGTATCTTTAGCAGTAACCTTTTTTAAGAAATATTTTTAAATGCCACAGCAAAATGTAAACAACATGTGCCAGTAACATACAATTGTACAATGTCTACATTTGGCAAAACTGCTATATCTCCTTTGAAACAGGATACTACACCTTAAAATACCTCAGATTTAGAAATATAAATATTTTAATAGAAAAGAAACTTTACAAAGATTCTAGGTCAATTTGGATTATTCATATTAAAGGGGTCTTAATACAACGAATCTTTAACTAGCTTAACAAAAGTAAACCTATAAAACAAGGTAAACATATTAAAAGGGAGTATTGAAGGAAATGTTCCAGTGAAAAGCTTCCTTAACAATTTCCCTACTTGCAGTGTTATTTTCTTAGACAATAAATCAATTCATAGAGTGCCCTTTAAAAACAGAAAGCGTAAAACACTATCCTCCGTTTTTTTCCCCTACATTCCCCAGTACATGAATCACTTGGACTTCCTGTTTCCACAAGGCATTTCCTCTTCAGCCTCAGAGAATCAGTTTTCTGTAGAACAGCAGGAACCTGACAAAGAACTGACTTAAATAAACAGTCTTCTGTTGCCTTCAAAGTTGTTTGTATTTTAAAGCATCAAAGGACACAGTCCTTCTGAAGGTGCATTATGTACAAGTAGGTTCTCTTGTTAAGCCTCGCTCGCCTAATTTTTTATTTGCCAAAATGCTATGGTGTGTGCTGTGTCATTATGGAATTATATTTAAGAGACCCTCTGGACAATGATTATATAATATGATACACCTTCTTTTTTTAAACATGATTTTGACTTCATATCAAATACTAATCACACTGTCACTGTTTTCTATGACTGCAGATGCAGTAGAGTATCTGACTGGGCCATAAGGCTGCACATTAGTTCTTACCAACATTTGCATGTTTCATTTGATCTTATTTTTGATAGACAACATCATCCAATGACAAAAGATAAAAGTAGAATGAGCAGTGCTAGGTGAGACATAATGTAATATTTAAAATAGTGCTGTACTTTGCATCTATATATTTAAAACCACCTCTACTCCTAATATTTTCAATTGCAACCTATACAGTAACCTAAAACTACTGGTATGGGAACCAGAACATTTCACTTAACAAAAATGAGAGAGAAAGGAAGGGGCAGTCTACCTTTAACGGTATTCAAGAAGGTAGTATGATATACTATGTACAACGATGTGAAAACTGAATTCTATATATCAAAAAAAAGTCAAGAACTAATAGAATGTTTCACTGATCAGACTGGGAAACTCTACCCAGAAGTTAACTGATCTCAACAGATAAACTAAAACAACAGTGAGTTCGTTTTCCTTAGAAGTAATTGATGTGGCAGGCTTTGGGGTGAATTTAGAGCCTATTAATTACTACTTGGATACTTAATGTAGTATATTAGTGTACCAGGTATTTTCTTACCAGTGAAGTTTCAATGAAACCTTGATATCTATATAGAGATCAGTATATAGAGAGATCTATATATAGATACATGTACATTAGTTAGAGTCCTTAAACACTAAAACCGAATTGCTCAGAAATAGGAAATGATACCCATTTATCAAAACCTGCAGTGCATTTCATGTTCAGATAATGACTTTAATTACAAATCCTGGAGCTAAATCTTTGCCTATTACCTGTTGCATAAAAGCAGCCTGCTCCCCAGATTCCATTTCCTGGATCTGAGCATCTTCATCACTGTCCACTGGTTCCTCCTTGACCTTCACAGCCCCAACTTGTCCCAGGGTGTCCTCCACACAAGCACTGCTGTCACTCCTAGTGCTGTTGCCACTAGAGGGCGCTCTGTCTTCCTGCATGGCCTGGTCCCCCTGAAGCTCTTCCTCTGCCTCCTCCAGGTGACTGCCTGGTTGCTTCAGTTGTTCAATAGATTTCGAAAGCAGCTAGAAGAGAGTGTTGAGGGGTTCAAATTCAATAGTTCTCGGTGGCAACAGAGCAGCAAAATACACTTTGATTTCTAATGACTCTGTAATACACTTAGAAAATGGCGGAAAAGAGGTAAATAGTAAACATTTTTCCCATGGAAACCATAACATTTTCACAAGAACAAATTGTACTGAGTGAATTTAATCCAAACACACATGGACATTTTTTCTCAAAATAGGAAATGCAATAAAAATAATGAAAAGGTAATCAACAATTTTCAAAAATCTCATTTTTTCAACAATTGTCTACCACTGTAAAAGACAGAGCACAAATGTTCACAGTTCTTATCCATCTAATTTTCCTCTACTTCAATGATAAAACAAATCTTCAAAAGGTTTGAAGATGTATCTTAAAATTGTTTTATCTTCAAATGATAAAGCACATTTTTTGTAAAACCTACAAATATTTTGAAATTCTTAACTTTAAAAATAGAGAGGAATTAAAAAAATTTGATGGCAGTAAAACATATCCAAAAGTAAATTAAAAACCAGACATTAATTTTAATTTGAGAATTATTATTTAGACCTCTTCTTGATCATATTATAAATTAATCAGACTTCCTTTTCAGAAGCATGTGCATTAACTGCTCACTGATTTAAAGACATAATTGACAACATCATTTAAACTGTAAAATACCATAGTTTAGAAGTTTGAAATATAGTTGAATAGTTGAAAATTGTCAAGATGATTTCACCGCACACAGGCCTTTTGTTTTATCTGATGATGGCTGGATTGGTCATCCGCCGATCTGGAACTGTGTTTTCAAAAGCGGTCAGTTTTCCACTGAGTCAGTGCCCACTTAAGCAACATGCCAATTATGTAATAAGCAGCACTCAGAAGAATTCTGCCACTAAAGTCATCAAGACAGACTATTCCATGTAAAATTCAAGTTTACCTCCCACTCATACCCACCTATGTTTTTAAAACTTAAATACATGCTTTAGCGTTAGAATACACAAGTATTCAAACTTTGAAGCCTGTTATAACCTCCTGAGGCAGAAATCTCAAATGGCCCGGCACACACTGATGAACCCTTCAATTTCACTGTAGGCAGAACTAGGGGGAGTTTTCATTCATTTTTCAACAAATATTTATAGAGTGCCGACTATGTCCAAGATATCATTCTAAGCACTGAGGAAACAGCATTGCCCTGTCCTTGTGGAGTCTATGAGTTAGTGTGTTAGAAAGGCACCAAGATGATAAGCAAAGTCATTCTTGTTTTCAAACAGAATAAATGAAAAAGGAAGAAACAGGGTGATAGAGAGTACGTACCAGTTGGAATGGAGTGGACTGTGGGGTGTTAAGAAGTTTGCCCTGAGAAACTGCTGTGTTTAGCCTGAGATGTGAAAGATGAAGGACGGAGAGGGAGAGTTGGTGACGTGTGTGTGAGGGGTGGAAATAAGTGTAAAGAGTGCATCTGGCAGAAAGCACCGTGTGTGGACAGAAAAGCAGCCCCAGGCACCCGTGCTACTGAAATGCCAGTGGGGTGTGAACACAGGGACCGAGGGAGAAGGACGGGAGATGCTGCTGCACAGAGTGACACAGTGTGTAGTATGCTTGGGCTGAGACTCAGAGTCTACCAAAAGGAAAGATAACTTTCGGTAAACTACATCTGAGATCTAAACACCAACCAACATTCATGTCAGAATGAACAGTCAAATTTAAATATTACTTTCCTTGGTGTATGCAGTCTAACTTCGACTGTTCCTGGGTGGTCAGCATGTGGGAAACATTCATCCCATCGTGCTTTTAGTGCCTATAAGTACTTTTTGGGGAACCATTTGCAGGAATTTTGTACCAACTCTAAATACTAATCAGCAACTGCATTTATGTATTTATGTATGTATTTATTTAATTTAGAAACGTTGGTCTGCTACCCCACTATGTATGCATTCATTGGCTGACTCCTGTATGTGCCCTGACCGGGGATTGCACTTGCAACCTTGGCACATGGGAACAGTGCTCCAACCAAGTAAACTACCCGGCCATGGTTCTTCATGTCTCGTATACAAAATACCTGGCACACTGCTAAGACTGTGGAGAAAAGAGACAGTGTAAAATTCCTGAACTTTGACTACACAATTGCAGAATCCTACTGAACTGGCTGTTTAAAAAAGGACATGTAACACCAGAGAAAACAAGCAGGATTTTAATGGAAAAGTCCCAGTTTTGGCTGGGATACCAGGGAAAAAGACATTGAGTAACACCCACTCAGTTCCAGAAAGACGGGGAGCTCATCACTCCGTCCTGTAACCCTACTTCCATCACTCACATCAAGGCAACACAGAAGACCAGGTTAGAGAATCATGTGGGAATGAGATTTATCTAAGAAAAGGCACCAGACAGGTGATGAGGGCTGCAGGCGCCCCTCAGTAGGACTATCTTCAAGAAGATGCTGGCTATTCATCTGGTTGGCTGTTTACTGAGCTGAAGAAAATGCTTCCTCTCACTACCAAAGCTTAGCTGGGCAAGTTCATGACAGCTAGACCATCAGAGTCAGGGGGGAGGGATGGCAAGGACAACTGTGAGTCAGACAGACACCACTGAGAAGTGTTCAGAAGATCCTGCCCAGCAGAACTCCTATGATGACAAGAGAAGAAGAAAAACAACGATATGGTGTGTGTAGTCATTGCCCAGGAACTGAGGGCCATTCATGAAAAGTCAGCCAGACAGCACACCACCGGTTCCCAGGAAATGCCACGTTAAAAGTCCCTGCTTACTAAAGGGTGACTCTGCATCTTATCTAGCTTCTGGGTGCTTGGCTACAAGAGTATTTAATAACCAAGAGGAGGCTATAAATGCCACCTGCTAAGTACAGAGACTTTCTTGTTGTTGTTCCTCTCCTTCACGGTTCCCACATGGCCTCTCATGCCTTGTACTCCTCACCTCCGGGGGTCCCATCATCTGCTGCACCTCAACTCCCAACTTCATGAGCACACCCTACACTTGGTCTTTATTCGTAATAGCACACTCACCTAAACCTCAATTCCAAACATCATTCCTTTCTCCTGGCTCATCCTCAGAATATTCTGACCACAACCACACCTCGAAGGGTCCTCAAAGCTATTGATCCAACCACATTTTCACTGCCCATTGCCACCACCCCTCTTCCCTCACTTCCCTCCTTGCTGGATGAGCTTCCACCCTCCATCATTACAACTCCCTCCCCTACATTATCTTTAACACTTCTGCCTTTTCAAAATTAAGACTTTTAACTCTGGTTACCAATAAATCTCTGCCAAACTCAAGCAGCTGAATACGCTAAGGAAATGTACAAACAAACTGCAATCATGCTGAGTGTCTTCAAATTCATGATCATAACCCTCAAACAGGCCTTTGGGCTACCTGGCAATCCTACATTTCTCAAGTTCATTTACTCTCACTCTTTCAATGACTATTTCAAACTACCTTCTCTCTCCTCTAACTTCTAATATCCAGACCTTTTCCTCACTCCCTGCTGATACCTTTGCTTCTTATTTCACCGAGAAAATAGACATATCGGTAGAGAAACTCAACTGTCCCGCTCACCCCCCTCCTGTTACAATGAAAGCAAGGTCTTGCACTCCTATTGCAGTCTACCCCTCAGCTTAATGCCCTTGATCTCTCCACTCCTGAAGTCGTCCACCCACGCTGTCCTCCACTGCACACGCCCCTCTCTGCTGGAGTATTCCGTTTGTGCACTCTCAGTATTTTTATCCCTCTTAAACCAAACCTCCCGTGACCCCTTCCAAATCTATCAATCACCTTCCATCACAGGAAAACTCCCAAGTTATTTCGCTCATTGTCTTTATTATTTCTTTTCCCATTAGAATTCACAATGAATATGTGTTAGTTCAAACTCTTCAACTGAAATCTCTCTTGTTACAAAAGTCAGTGAGTACCTAAATGCTCCAACCATTGGCAATTAATACACATCAGTGAGGGTGACACATTTTAGAAAAAAAAAACAAGATACCATCGTAGCATCTTTGAAAGTAAGAGATTAATATTACTAGTGTTGGTACAGCCAGAGGTTAGGCAAACTGTGTGAATTTACTGGAATGTAATTTCCCATAGAAGTAAGTATGTCCAAGAACATCTCTACTACTGACCAAATGCCGAGTGTTCGCAGAATATATCAGATGTTCATTTTAACAGAACACCTTCTAAAATTTGACCTGATACTTCTGAGGTCACTAAAGTATCCAGAAATCACGTCATTTCTCCCAAGAATCAAACTGAGTCAGTATTTACAGCCTCATTAAACAATGTTTAGTGTGCAATGTAGAAGCAATGCTGTGTATTCCAGCGGTCCCCTGGGCTTCATCTGCACCTCTGATGCACTAAAGGAACCACGAGGGAGAAACACCCGGACTGAATAATGTTGTGACAACTGGACAAGAAGTCCAAATGGCAAATTGCCCTTCTTGCAAGGGCAGAATTCCTCAATGGTTTGTAAAAAGAAATGTTGCTTGACATAAAATAGTAACTCAGGAATGGAGTTCATATAGGTATAAAGTGTTGGTGTTGGAAAATTTGTAACATTCTTCTAACCTGCATTTGATAAAGAATAAATTTCATGCCCAAGAAAAATGGAATGATCTCCAAAATAGAGTAGGAACCTAGAAGGTTTTACACCCTTCCACTCTGCACTCTCCTCTGAAGCAGCTATTTCTGATGACAACTGAATTAATACAAGCAATTCCGATGTCTCCCCTGAGCTCTAAACTTGCATATTCAGCTGTTTGCTTAATGTCTTTGCCCAGATCTAGAATAGCTAATAGGTACCATAAACTTTAAGTAGATCAAAAATAATCTTTATTCTCATCCCACTCAAATGTATCGATCACTATTTTCTCATTTGAGTGAACAGTATCACCCAATTGCATGAGTCAAAAATCTCGGATCTCTCCTCATTTCTTCCTCACTCATCTTTTTTTCATCAATATTTGAAAACTTAGTGTTTAGTAGCAATCCT